TACTGGAGTGTATGTTCGAGTATTTTTCACATGACATTAAATGCAATAAAATGATATGTAAGTGTCTGAAATCGTTTTCATAATGTGAAGACGTTCTACCATAACAAATACATCTATGAAATGAATTATTGCATTGGTAAAACATGTAGACTTATACAAATATAATATTTGCATTCGGAAATAACACTTGATGTTTGTAAAATGCAGAATATTGAGTGAGGCATGACCTTTCTAAAACCGAAAATACTTACGAATTTACACCTAAAGATAATATTACTATCAGTAATGAGAATGATAACTGTAACAAAGGTGTTTTTTAATAATCATCGTTCGGTGTACAGCCCATAATAACTGGCAGTTTAGTTGGCTTCATCAATAATACACTGTGTTTTGCAGAGTGTATGTCAACATGACTTCAAAGTGTAGGCAATGTCAACCTGCTTAAGATTAAACTGAGGCAATGTATTCAACGTCAACTTGATAACATTTTTGCAACTTCTTTATTTTTCGAAATCGATATGCATGATTCAGTGAATGGAGATTATTTTACCGAAGTTCACCATTGCAATGAGCCTTCAAGCTTATTTCTATTTCACCTACCACTTAGAAAACGAAAGGCCACTCAAACAATCTAATCTGGGCAATAAAGATCTTTTGGTGAATAGCAATCGTATTTGATTGTGACTGGTATAACATGTTTGTCGTTAATTTCTACAAAAATATACTTGAAAGCAAAAACGCATCATTTCGATAATGTTTTATCAATGCATTATCAATCAGTGTCAGATTTTAAAACGTATGAAAAATATTTGACAACTTTTGAATGAATTGCGCAATAACACGCTTTCAAGTGCTGAAAGTATGCAGGTATGGTTGTTTTCATAAAAAGCACTTTCAGGTATTTTGACTTTTGTATTCATTGGTGCAAATAATTAAATTCTAGTATCACAGATTTTCGACATCCACAGTAATAAAATTATCCATTCAATTTAACATCGATTGAATGAATAAGTTATATTTAAAAGTTTCAAGCAGTTAATACTATTTGATCATTCGTATTTCAGCATAAGATGATTTAGTTTAGAATATGAGATTTTCAAAAATATTTCATTCGTTAATGAAACAAGTGAAAACAAAACTGTAAGTATTGTATGGATTACTACAAATTCCATCATTTAGATATTGATATTAATATACTTAAATGTATACCCTCATTCCGCATTGAATACTCCTGGACAAGTATATATTTTTAATTGTATTGACAGTTCGGTAGTCAATTTTAATGAATCATTATAATAAGATTAATCGAGTGTAGCTATTAAGATTCTTCACTTTACTTTGATTTGGTCATGATAAATGTTCAGCGAAAGAGTTGAATGTGTAGGATGTTTTTAGTTATATGCTTATCATTTTCAAACAAACGGAGATTTGTTTATTATAATAAAAATTTTATTAGCTACTTAGTCATCATCATCAAGCGTGACATATAACGTATTCAAAAATGAATGAAATCATTCACATTACTGAATATTAGTCAGTAGTAGAGCTAGTTCATAAAGTAAACTGAGATTACACTTATTTAACAAATTTACCTGTTCTACGTGGTCATGAAATTCGTCAGAATACATAGGTTGATACACTGATCCTTCGATTGATAGATGCGTATATCAATCTACACCAAATACAGGGTAATTCGGTTAAAACCAAGTGAAATTTCTCAATATGTGTTGGGATTTCATCAAAAGATAACCAACCAGCGCTCATGATCATCCTAGTATAGAGAAGTAATAGAATTCATCACTGTTTTTAATGATATGCTCTAGAGACCAGTCTTTGCATGATTGAATGTTGATATGTTGTTGAATGTTGTTGATATTCACTGCACGGGTACCTCATAAAAGAATTTGGTTTAATTGGTCTCACTCGACGACGATTAATGTTTGTTGAACTGTTCAGAGCAAAATCAATACTCTTTCGCAATCAACTCCAGTAGCGTATATTAATTTATGTGCGTATGTGTTTTTAGGTACGAGGGTAGGACAGTGGGAAGGACCTATATCAAGTTTTTAAACACGTTCCAAGGAACCTGTGTCTAAAAGGCTGTAAAGTCGTAACAAATGTTATCACCTAGCATCTGATAAATGGTGAATATACAGACAATATTATCCATGTATTCAAAACAAAATACAGCAAAGGAACAGGAACAATTAGAATCAAACACCCTCAACCCAAACGATGAGCACAGAGATAAACCTTTCGCTGTCACTACGAGTGCGATCAAGTAACCCATTAGGTTTTTGACTTTTGAACTATTTTCATTTATCACATAACATAATCAACGTTCATAATCGTTATTTGAATTAATTCTTAGCTCCGTCGAGTAAACATACACTTATTTGTAGTGCAAAACGAATAAATCATTTGGCAAATAAGTAATTGCCCTAATTTACAAAGCTTCACTTCATCGAACGTTGTTTTCTTTATCATATATACAGCTGGTAAGTTTTCAAATTCTTAATCACGCCATAGTTACAATTTTGGCGCAGACGTGTGAATCGATAATTGTTTGAGATAACATTTATTATCCAACTCAATGCCACTGTGTTGAATTCTAATCAGCTAAGCAAAACTTGGCTGACCTACAAGAATTCATACAACTTCATAACAAACATGATGAATTTATCAATTTGTAAAAAAAGGCGCACATTCCAATTAAAATATCATCGGAAGATAAGTGATACACTCATTTATGTGTGATAAAAATTGAAAAATGTTGATGCCTACACGAAAACGAGGAGGTTTCTCACTGATGGATTTGTAAGTTAATGCATTTATTTTTTGTAAGATTGAAGTGATTATCCAGTCAGACCAAAGTTTATTTATCAATGAATTAATTGCATAAATTCAACTAAATTATTTGTTTAAATTTTTTATCATTTTATTCACTTTCGTTAAAATATTGAAAATCGAGGTAACACATCAAATTCTCTAGGTCATATTTCTGGCAGGAAGTTATTTTGTGATTTTAATACGAGATAACAAGGAGAGATTACGTTTTTTAACATAGTGTTATAACAGCTTAGAAAAAAGATCGTTTCACAAAGCAGAATACTTTATTTATCCAATACAGTATTGATTTTATCTTCAGTGTGACTTTTGTTGAAAATAATGTTCTTGGTATTCATTCAGTATGAATGTTGTTTACCATCATATAATGGATAAATTTGCACGCACTATCCGTTATACATCTTCCCTGTATAGCTTATTTGTAAACAACTCATCGAGGGTAGAATTAATATGCCAAAACGTATTTGACATTTTTCGGAAAAGACGATAAGCTTTCCTCTGTAATCGGTTTTCGAAAATCTCAACTAACAGTAGTTCTCGATTGAGAGACTCGACACTCTCAAGGCTACATAACTTATCATATTTGAATAGCAATATCTTGTCTTGAAAAAGTTTAATGAATTTTGAGTGAGCAGAATCTTTTCAGTAATAAATTTCTGACCAGTGTTCAACAGAGAATATAAAAGACATTTCATTCAAAACGATACTGATATGTTCGTCACTTAGGATGCTCGATGCTATTGCGAGTTTACCTTAGTCGATAAACGCTAACGAGACTTTTACCAGCTTCCAGGAAGGCTACCTTGAATCCAAACGGTAAAACAGAAGTCTTGGTAAGCGTAGAAAGTATATTCTACAAGCACCCAGCAATCCCAGTACAATCAAGCATACAACTCTCGTTTATTTATACAACATAACAACGTCCTTGAGACAGTTAAGAAAATAGCATACTAAAATACACTGTAGCCAATCACAGCCATTGATTTTCCTGGTGGGAATTGAAATCTCAAGGTCATTTGATCAGCCCCTGCTGGCGAACGTGAAAACCGAAATACGGCATTATCAAGCGAATTTTGGGGATCTAACATCCCCAACACTCCTCCCCTTTTTAATAGCGTGTTCTACTGTGGTTGACTTGCATCTTGACTATTGTTCGCCGCTGTCTGAGGGGATACCTTCGGGAACGAAGAACAGCTTGCTGCTGAGTTTCTTCTCGTGGCGGGGCTCTCGGTAGGTTGAAGGTATCAAGCAAGATGTCAAAGGGAAGGCTCTCCGCTCTTGATGGGCGATCTGGGGCTAGCCGTCTGTGTAACTGATTCCGATGACGTAACCATTTATCACCCCCTACCTCTACTTCGTACATAACTCGACCAACCCTTCTGACCACTCTCGCTTCTACCCAAGGACCATGGTTCGTTCTGTAGTCGCGGGCAAACACAGAGCATCCCGCCTCGTAAGCGGATTGTCTTTGCTGCTTTGTCTCCACTGATGAGGGTGCATTGGTCGGATGCATCAGGCTGTGGATCGTTTTCAATCTTCTTCCCATCAGGATTTCAGCTGGGGACTTTTGCTCCGGTAACAATTCATTTGGTGTTGTCCGATAGACGTACAAGAAATTTTGTAATGCTTCGGCTGGCGTCCCCTCCCCTTTCCGCCTGCCCATTCGATTGCGGGTGGTATGGTGGCGAGCGTAAGTGTTTAATGGCTAGCCGTTGACAGAAATTCTGGAATTGGGAAGAGGTGAATTGAGAGCCATTGTCGGATACGATCACATCTGGTATGCCATTTCGTGAGAAAATTTCAGTTAGGAGCTGTATAGTCTTAGTTGTAGTGGGCGGCATAACGGGGCTGATTTCCGGCCATTTAGAAAAGGCGTCGACGACAATTAAATACATAGTTCCATTTATTGGGCCAGCGAAGTCGACATGTATCCTGGACCAAGGATGCTCAGGTTTGGGCCATGAAACCGGCGGAATTTTGGCATTCATCTTTGCCGCCTGCTGACACCGGATGCATTTTTCAACCAACGCTGTGACATGTTGATCCATGTGAGGCCAGTATGCATAACTCCTGGCTATGGACTTCATTCGTTTAATCCCAGGATGACCAAGATGGAACTGTCTCAGCACTTTTGCACGAAGGGATGCTGGAACCACTACTCTTTCACCAAACATGAGACAATCGTTCACGATGCATAGTGAATTCCGCCGCTGATACAGTTGCTTGATGTCACCTTCAAACTTTTTCGACGGCCAACCTTTAGTGACATATTTCATCGTCATCTTGATGATGGGGTCGTTTCTAGAAGCATTTTGTATGTCTGTTGCAGACACCGGTAATGCACGAACTGCGGTTGTCAGATAACATTCTGCGTGGTCTTCTGGGTCATGTCGTTGTGATACCAGGTTGCATATGGTATTTAGCGGGACATCAGCCAATTTTAGCTGGTCGAACCAATCTAAACCAAGTAAATTTAGATCAGCTGGCGTTATATAGCATACCCCAGTAAACGACGAATCTCGGAAAGCAACTTTACATTCCAATTGTCCTAACAGACGAAGATAATTACCACATGCTGTACGCGGCTTTTGTGTTGTGTGCTGCAGGCTTGGGTTGCCCAATTTGGTCCAATTTTTGCGTGAGAGGATAGTGACATCAGATGCAGTATCTATTTGCATTCTACACAAATAACCGTTAATATTAAGAGTAATAAATTTCCTCTCACCTGGTGATGAGCTTTGGCAGGAAGATATTAGGCTCAATGCATTGGTACTGGATCTAGGAACAGGCTTCTTAGCACTTCTGGATCGCTTTGGCTTTTTCTGTAGGCAAAAGCCATCTTTATGACCGATGACTTTACACTTCCTGCATCTATGCTGCCTAAATGGGCAGTTCCGTACATAGTGCCATGAACCGCAGTGCCAGCAAGCAGAAGGTGGATTCATTTTGGGTTTTTGGTCCGAATTGGAGCGGGGTGAACTGGGTGTAGCATGGGCAGACTTATAATGATTAGGTGGCTGCTGTACCAAATGAATTTCAGATCGGCTTGAACTACCACTCTGAACTATAGTCGAGTCTCGTTGTAGGTCAGTGAGACGTTGGTACTCATGAGCCATATCATTAAGCGTAAGCTTTGGATCTTGCTCCAACCGACTTAGTAGCCTTGTTCTAATGTCACTGAACTTACTCGACT